AAGCAGTACAGTTATTGAGTGGGACAGGAGCGGGTAGGAGCCCTATCAAACCACATCCCAAGGCTTGAAATAACATGAGCTCTGGGGACTGAGAACAGATGGGTTCAGTTATCCAGGGAGAGTCCTTCCTTAAACTAAAGCCTTATTACATGCTAAAGAAGGGTCATATTCTCCTTGGACTTTCCCAGCTGGTCAGAACACAGTCATGTGGAGCAGTGAATATAGTTATAGGTATCATCTCAGCTTCAGTCAGAGCAGGAATTCAGTCACAGTCATTTAAAATCTATCTGTCACCCCATACTAATTTATTGGAAAGTTGGAGCAAGTGCTACATTATCTGCTGAGAGCAATGCTAGAGCCATTTGGGAAAGGATGAAGGAAGAAGGCTGAAGGAACTGAGGATGTCTGGGTTTTCTGTGAAAAGCAGAGTGGTATCATTTCCATGTACCAGGCATGGAAATTACAGTGAGTTAGACCAGAACTGCTTTATTTCAGTATTTTCCAAGAGGAGGAAATTGGGCTAAACTTTGCAAAATATATAGGATATGGGAAGGGGTTTGGCAAATGCTTAGAGTCTTTACAGTGACTTACAACCTATAAGTCAGCTGTAGTTTCTTATTGGTCTATAAATGTGTATGGATAAAAGACTTCTTCATATATTGCTGGCACTTTCTCCTCCTGAAAATTTATAGATTCTTTTCTAAGGCTGCTAGTCATCCTGCCTCTCTCAGTGCTTCTTTCTCCTTGACTTTTCCTGCAGCTTGAGGGTTATAGCCCATTGCTCCTCCAGGGAATCTTCCTTTGTCCAGTTCATCCCTCAGTTCCTGGGCATCTTATCCATTCCAAGGCTGTGCTTTCTCTATCAAGCAAAAAACCTTCAAGATTTCAGCTTTAGTTCCTGAGTTTTGAATACTCATTTCCTCATGCGTGTTCTGTGCACCTTAAATTCAGTGTGTCCAATACTGATGCAATGGTCTCCCGTCCTCTCATTTATTTATGCATCTCACTAGCTGATACAGGGCCATATTCCCAGTCACTAGGGCCAGACACTCCACCTCCCACCTCGTCACCTTGGCACTATTCCCTCTCCTGAATTACCCTTGGCAGTGCAGACAGGGTGAGGGCTCTCAGAGGTGCTATAATTCACCCCAGTGTGTTTCTGCTTAGATATCACCTTTCCCACCCTTCCACAAGCTCTCATATCTGAAGGACCAAATCGTAAGGCCAGGTGAAATGTGTCTTCCTGCAAAGTTTTACCCGGTTCTTTAGCCCCACATATGGACTCCCAAGGCTGTGTAATCAGTATGGCCTCTGTCTCAGAGCATGCAGTCCCTTGTGTTGCCCTCACTGATGCCTATATCACAGTCCACTATCTACAAGCTCATTGTAAGTAGGATGCTTATCTGATCCATCTACCTACCCTTCTCAGTGACTGCATATATCTGGGTTCAGTACACTACTTTTATGGCCATTAGCAACTATTTGCATCCCAGGCACATCTTACCTGTATTTTCCATGGGTGGAGAAGTTTCTTAAGGAACTGTACTAAATATGATTCAGCTTTTGGTCCAAGATATCAACTGAGAACTGCCTGCCACAACCTTAGTACACAGTAAGTGCTGAATCTAATGGTTGAAGGGAACTCCATTAATCATTTAGTATTTATTGTATCTAGAAGAATTGGACCATTAAAAATTTTGCATAAAGCAGGTAAGCCGATAAGAGTCTGCAGAGATATAGGAGGAAATTCATGAGAATGTGGTATCACAGGGAAGGAACAGATTACATGGAGAGAGGGTTAAAGAAGAAAACAACTGCCTTAGCAGCATGGAGGTCTTTGAAGAGCTGCCTCACTCTTCTTTTCAGTGCTGTACTTTGAACCCAGTGCCTTTACACTAAGCTATGTCCCCATCCTTCTTTCCTTCCTTCTTTTCTTTTCTTTTTTTTTTTTTTTTTCTAGAGATCAAACTCAGAACCTTGAGCTTGCAAGGCAGGTAGGAAGGTGGTGGCACCACTGAGCTAAATCCTCAGGCCCCCCCATCCTTTTCTTTGAGATAGGGTCTCACTAAGTTCTTAAATTGCCCAGGGTGGGCTGTAACTTATGATCCTCTCACCCCAGCCGTCCAGAGGGCTGGAATTATAGGTACCCACCACCATGCCCAGCTGAGAGCTGTTTTTATTTAAGAAGAAATGAGCAGAAGTGTGACTGAAGTGTATTAAAGAATGAATGGGAGATGTAGATGTAGAAAAATATATGGATAATTTTTGAAGAAATTTACCAAGAGGAGAATAATAGGGAGGTAAGTAGATGTGGAGTGGAGTCCAGAGAGGATTTTCTTTTAAATTGGAAATATACATGTATATGTTTAGAAACTTAAGAGAAAAAGATGTTTCTAAAAGAAATGTAAAACTGCATCAAAAGTAAAAATTTTTGAAGTAAATAATTTAATTATGTAAGATTAATTGTTTTTGCATGATAAAAGCAAATGAAACATTGGGAAAGAGTATTTTTATCATCCATAACAGAAGTAGTAAATAATTTGGAATATCACAAACTGAGATGCAAAAAATGTATTTTACTGTTCTTTCAGTCCTCTTTTCTCTTTGTAGCAAGAGGATCACATTAAAAAGACAAAGTATTAAAATATCACCTTAATGTGATACCATAGTCACTTTCCTCACCACTGACACACAATACCCGATACCACAATTCTAAGGAGAAAAATTTAGCTTTGGTTCAGTTTTCAGAGTTTTTGGTCCATAGTCTGCTGGCTCTAAGGCAGGGCAGCATGGCAGAGGGGCATCTCAGAGGAGAAACTGGTCTTACTGCAGCTAGGAAGCAGATAAAGAGAAGGGAGGAGCTGGGGACGGAGATAAACCTTTCTGGGCCACACCCACCAGTGTCAAGTATCTTCTAACAAACCCTACTTCCTAAGAGCAAGTCAACTATAAACTCCTATAATCTAATCATCTACAATCACTGCCTGTGAGCCCATGATGAGGCTTCGGGTGACATTTAAACTGTAACATTCTGCCCCTGGCCCCAAAAGATTCATGCACATGTCTTCATGAAAAATGCATTTAGTTCATCTGTAAGAGTTGCCAGAGTTTTAACATTGCTGAAAAGTCCAAGACCAAAGTCTTCTCTGAGACTCAAGGTAAATGCTTAGCTGTGAGTGCCTGTAAAAATCAAAAGAAAGTTAAACACTGCCAACACACAAAGGCACAGATTAAATATTACCATTCTGAAAGGGAGGCATAGAGGGATAGAAACTAAGAGGACCAAAACAAGAATGAAGCCCAGCATGACAAACATTAAATATTCTAGTTCTGTGTCCAGCCCCTGGGGCAAGATGTGGCATGATAAAGGTGGCATGTTAAGCTTTAAACAGCTTGGGTGGCTCTGCTCATCCGGCATTGCTATTGGTTGCAGCCCTCATAGTTTATCTCTTGTTCTGCTCTACTCACTTCTTCCTTTCCTCAGATGTGTGGAGCTCCTGGCTTCCCCAGATTCCTAGGGTTTCCAATGCATGATCACCTTCACATCAACAGCTTCACACACTGCCCCCTCAGGGGCACACCACCCAGCCTCCCAGGGCTGCTTCTGAAATCTGTGTGAAAGTCTTTCTGACTCTACACCTCTTGCATCTGCATGCACATAAAACTAGCACCATGTGGATGACACCAAGGTCTGCCACAGGCTCCGTCAGTAACTAGGTCCTTTTGCATCATGGCTGCAGGGGGCTCAGAATGCCTGGATGGTTGAGCATGTTGAAGTGCATCCCAGGGAATCAATTCTCTTTCTGGACCAAGGTGTCCCAAGTTTCTCTTCTCAAAAGAAAGTTTTATGGCCTTATTTGTTTTTCCTTCCTTTCTTCCTTCCTTCCTTCCTTCCTTCCTTCTTTCTTTCCTTCTTTCTTGTACCAGCGATGGAACTCCCAGTCCTTGTGCTTGTGAGGTAGGTGGTGAAATCACCAGCCCTATGACCTTATTTCTTTAAGCCTGTAATGAATGGAAGTTTTGCTGATTTCTCACATGCCCTCAAGCCATTTTTCTTTTTGTCCTGATCCAAAATACTTAGCTTCTTTTTAATGTTAATCCTTTTTTTCAACTAAGCTCTCCTCTCTTCTATTTAGTAGGTGATTTCTTTCTGGTAAAACTGAAAACTTTCAAAATAGGCTTTTTGCTCTTGATTTTCCTTTTAAACCTGGCTAAAAGCCCCAACACTGTCCATGCCACAGCCCCAACATTAAGCTGCTTTGAAATTTTCTCTACCAGAAGAGTCTACTGTCCTTAGTCTCCCAAGTGTCTCAGAGCAGGAACAAAATGTAGACAAATTTTCTGCCACAGCAGAGCACACACTGTCTGAAGTCCAACTGCTAATGAAGTCATTGTTTCCAACTAAAACTTTTAGAGCCTGGTCTTTTCCATCTACTTTTTTACCATCCTTTTGCTCTGTTGAGCTCTGACCAGACTTTCCCACTGAGCTCACCTCACAACACTCTAGGCTTCTCTAGCTGGCATCTTCAAACTTTTCCAAAATCCTCCCATAAACCAGTTCCACTGGCCTCCGAACCACATGGTCAGGTAGCATTACAGCAGCAACCCTACTTCAATGTTACCAAAATCTGTCTTATTCACTTTTTTTGTTGCTGAGACACTGAGACACTACCCGACACCCATAATTTAAAGGAGAGATATATTTTCATGTACAGTTTATACAGGTTTCGGTCCACAGTCTGCTCGCTCTAAAGCAGGGCAACATGGCAGAAAGGCATGGCAGAGGACAAGATACTCACATCATGGTGGCTAGAAAGCAGGTCAAGTGAAGGGAGGATCTGGGACCCTTTCAGTTATAGGTCTCCCCTCTGAGAAAACGGACTTTAAAATACAAGGATAACATCGATAGGCCCTCTCCGGGCTCCTCTCAGGGGCCGGGGTCAGGAAACCGACTCCCAGGTTTGCTCCCCGCCTGACTGCCCGTCCCTTCCCGTCCTCAGTGAGATGAGCCAGAAGGGGGCCAAGGAGGGCCCGCGCCTGTCCAAGAACCAGCGGCTGTCGGAGCACTTCAGCATCCGCTGCTGCCCGCCCTTCACCTTCCTCAACTCCAAGCGCGAGCTGGTGGACCGCAGGTACAGCCTGTGCCGCAGCGGCTGCTTCTACG